ATTAGCTGAGGGAGGAAGGGAAATGAAGGCCGTGAAGGATGCCACTGTCTCAGGCTGCCCCGTGGTGGCCACCTGAGGCATGACATTCACAGTCAGCTCAGGGCTGCCCCCCTCTGCCTCTCCACCTCAGTTCTAGCAGGGTCTCTTCCCACCTGCAGAGATCCTGACTCCTGAGAGGCAGGAAACCAGCTTCTAAGTCTGAGAAGTCCTGGGGTAGGCACTCTGGAGACGATCTCAGTGTCCCCCTTTGCTCCCCAGACAGAGGCGTTCCTAGGGCAGGGATTGGTCTCTGCCTGTGTCTCAATACCTGGTACAGGAGGTGCCTCCTCCATTAGACTTGGAGCTCACTGCTGATCTGCCTCCCCTGTCAGATGGAAGGCTTCCTTATCTCTCTCTCCCTACCCTACCTGGTCCAGCTGGTTGTCCTGGGGGTGGGGGCAGGGCATAATCTGACCTGCAGGTCCAGCTGAGACTGGCCACATTCTGAGGTCAGCCTGTTTCTTCTTTCATGGGATTTCTGGAAAGGTCCCCAGCGCTGACCCTGACAGCCCCGGGAGAACCAGGCACCAGAGAAACAGGGGACCCCCACCCCACAGAGGGTGACAGATGGCCGTGCACTTTGCAGAGAGGGAAAGAATGTGCTGCCCATTGCTTTGTGACAAAGTTCAAGCCCTCTCCTCTGTGGGGCCCTCTCTCCTCCCACCCCCGGACTCCACCTGAGCTATGCTCTCTGTCCAGCAGCCCATCCCCCACCTTTCTTTCCACCTGGCCAAGTCCTGCTCATCTTGCTGCAGGCTCATCCTTGTCATGCTCCAGGATGTTCCCCCTGTTCCCAGGACTGGCAGCAGGTTTGTCTGGCACTCTTAAGGGCTCCCTAGCACTGCCCAGCTGTGGTTCTTAGGAAACCTGATTGCTGTATCAACACCTGCCTCCCCCACCAGCACCATAAGTTCCGGTGCGCAGTGCCCTGCCTGCCTCATTCACCTATCATCTCAGCACCAGACAGACCTGGCACCTGTCATTGCTCCATGAGTATCTGCTGTGTGAATGCAAGGTTGACTCAGCCCTGGCTGCGACCACTTCCCAGACATGGGACCTTGGGCTAGCCCCATTCTCTTGCATTCAGTCAACACCTACTGAGTGACTGCTACGCATCATTCAGGGCACAGGATCCAAACCCAGGTCTGCCTGGCATCCTACTGTTCTTCATGTCAGCTTCTACCCTTCCTAGGAGACACTGAAGGGCTGAGGGCAGCAATTGTCTACTGTCCCCCAGACGCCAGTGCCCTGGGTGTCCCAAGATGTCCCTGCCTCCAAACCTTCATGCACAGAGAGCCTCCACCTGCCAACATTCCACCCAGCCCTTGAAGTGCATTGTGAGAGTCGCTGTCACCTTAAGGCTGTCCCCATGACCCCTGGCAGGATTCCTCACAGACTCAGGTAGCAGGGGATGCAACCCCCTCAGCTTTGACCCCAGCCATTCAGAAGTGTCCCCGCCCTGTTCCCAGGATGCCTGGCCAGAGCTAGCCTGATCTGTGTTGCAGTGGTTCCCACTGATTTGACTAATCTTCCTTCCACCAAGCCCTGCAGCGTCTCTCTCCTCGCTCCAGTGCCCAGAGCAGCACTGGCACTCAGAGCTACCAAGTGACCACGAACAAACAGGAGCAAGTGGGGCAGCTTGCAGGAGGGGGCACTGACCAGATGCCCAAGACATGGCAAGAGAATGGGAAGCCAGGTGGGAAGGGCATGGCCTGGCTTCCCCTTCCTGCATCCCAGGAGGGCACTGGGGAGGGCCAAGGAAAGTCACAGGGCAGACAGGGTGAGCTGGGAGACGGCAGCCTGCCGCAGGAGGACAGCCACACATCTTGGAGCTGTCTGGACATTGTCCACTTCAGCAGAATTCCAAGGACAGGGAAGGTAAATGAGTGCCCACCCCCGCAGGGCCCAGGCTCGGGCTGGTGCCAGGGCTGGGATGACAGTCAGGAGACCTGGGTTCTAGTCCTCCTTCTGCCATTGATATGTTGTGTGACCTTGGCAAACCTCTGCCCCTCTCTGAGTACAAGCATTACCTGGAGAGGACTGAGTTGGCATAACCTGACCAATATGAGCACCAGAGGCTGGAGGTACCAAAGGGATTGCCAGAAGTACCTTGCCAACACAGCTATACTGGGAGCTGGTGACCCAGTGGCCCTTGTGGGGCCACTGCTCAGCTCTGCCCATCCTCCTGTTCCTGCCTCAACCTACAGAGGCCACAGTGGGGTTCCAGCCATCCCCTCCCTCTGCGAGCTGCTTGTCCTCTCTTCAGGGGTCCCCTTCTGTCCCCTGTGCCCCAGAGCTGTCAGGCTGCCAGCCAGGAGCATCAGCTATGACGGAGTGACCTGCGTCATGGTGAGTCAGAGCCCTTCCTCCAAGCCAGATCAGCCACTCTGTGCCAGGAATGAGAAAAAGGACATTTCTGCCTCCTCAGCTGGGGTCCCTGCAGAGCTGCCTTGGCAAGGCCAGACTTGGGGGACAGAAAATGGGGGGCTCTGAGCAGCTGCACCTGACACTCAGAAACAGGCTCTTCTGGGTCCTTGCCACTGGCACACAGTAGGTACTTCATACATGTCCTTAAATGGGGGCTTCCACCTCCCCTGGGTGTAGGAAGCTGGGAGAGGTAACAGTGCAGCAGACTTGTGTTGCTGTCACTCTTACGGTCCCCCTTGAGCCAGGCATGGTGGCACATGCCTGTAATCCCAGCACTTAGGAGGCTGATATAGTATTGCCACGAGTTCAAGGCTAGCCTGGGCTACATTTTAAGACCTTGTCTCAACAAAACAAAACAAACTACCTCAGTCTCACCTCAGAGTCCATGAGGGAATTAGTTCTACCCCCCCGTGCCCCCATCATTCAAAGACACCCAAACCTTCAGATGTTCCGGGCCTTTATATAAAACAGTGTAGCATTTGCTTATAATCTACATCCTGTATACTTCAAATCATCTCTAGGTAAATGCTGCAAATAGTTGTTACCTTGTGTTTCGAAAGGAATAAAGACAAGGAAAAGCCAGGTGTGGTGGTGAACGCCTGTAATCCTAGCACCCTGGGAGGCTGAAGCAGGATGATGACAAGTTTGAGCCCAGCCTGGGCAATTTACCAATATGAAACCCTGTCTTTTTTTGTGTGTGTGTGTGGTACCGGGGATCCAACTCTGGACCTTGTACTTGTGAGGCAGGCGGCAGAACCACTGAGCTAAATCCCCAGCCCATGAAACCCTGTTTTAAAAAGAAGGCCCTGGGCTCAATCTGAAATCCCACCAAAGGAGCAGAAAAAAGACAAGGATAAAAATCTGTATATATGCACTACAAACTCATTTTTTGTTTTTGAATATTTTTAATCTGCAGTTGGATGACTCCACGGAAATGTAGACCCCGCAGAGGCTGAGGGCTAACTATTGAATTTTAGCCTTGGGTACCTCCTATGAGTCAGTCATTTTTGCCTGTATTATTTCATTAGCCCTCACAACAACATCATCAGGTGATATTTTTTTTTACCTGCAGTTAACAGGTGAAAAGCTGAGACCTCGAAGGTGAAGCCCAAGGTGTGGGGAGCGGTGTCAGCCAAAAAGCTTCATTTTAATTTTACCCTCTGTTATAAATAGCCAGGAGACTATGTAATGGGGAACCGTGTCTCCGCTAACTCCGATGTTTCCCTTTAGAGATTGCCCTAGCAACAAGATGAACCTTCTGTAACCCCAAGAAACAAAGTAGCCCATGAGGGCAAGGAGTGTCTAGAAAACTAGCAAACAACGAAGCAGGTGTTTTGGATAAAGGTCATGGTTAATGACCTAACTCACTGAGTGTATAAAAGAGAGGTGAAAATAAACTTGCTTGCTCGGTCTTAGGAGCCCTCCCGACTCTGTCTCTTTTCTTGATTTTTCTCGGTCCTCCTTTCCCCCATTCAGGAACTGTTCCACTGGTCACGGCTGGGCCGCCACACCAAGGCCACCCCACTCATGTGAACAGAGCCCCCGTCTACACCCAGGTCTGCCCACACCAGGGCCAGGCCCAGGCCACCTCCACCCAGACTTTACCTCCCAGGGGGAGCCCAGCCTGGCAGCCCAGCTCCAGTCCTGCAAGAAGCCTCCAGCCCACCCTGTCCCCTGACTCAAATCTGTCATCCTATGGGGCCATCTCTGGTGGCAGGAAGATGGGAGGTGTATATGTTCAAGTGTGTGCCTCACACTGGAATGCTGCGGACCGGCAGGGTAGGCCAAGGGAGCCGGTGTGTGTGTGGAGATGCAGGTGTGTGTAAATATGTGCACACGTGTGGCTGTGCTCAAGCATGTGCTGTATGAGCAGGGGAGGCCCATGTGGAAGAGTGTGTGTTCATGCATAGGTGAGTGTGAGGGTGATTAGATGTAGCCACTGCTGCTCCACTGCAGGCCACCCAGGATGGAGGCAAAAAATTCGTGCCTCAGTTTACCTCGCCCTAGATAAATCCTGAGAGGCAGCCCTGACCCCTTGTCACTGCCAGAGCTCCTTTCTCCAGCGTTGAGGCCACTAGGGCACCCTCTGTACCCCCGGACTGGACCAGCGCGCCCCAGATGAGGAGCCCAAGGTCAAAGGCTCAAAGGCGTTGACCCTCACATCAGAGGGCCCCCCGCAGGGCGCTGACGTCTGTGAAGATCAGTGTCTCCCTCTGCAGGACAAGCTAATGGGATTATTGCTACGTGTGCAGCTCACTAGCCTGCTCATTGTTGTTGTTAAATTGATACTGACTTTAAACCCCCAATGCCAGAAATCTCCCTACCCTGCTGCCTTCCCTGACCTTCAGCCTCAGGTTGGTGCCCCAGGCTTGAGCGACAGAGGTCCTCCTGTCCCCCGCCCCTCTCCCCTGTCCCTGCCCAGGGCTGAGACAAGGGCGCAGGGGGTGTGGGCACGAGGGGGCGGGGCCCCTCCTTCCTCCCCCTTCCCCCCCTTCTCTCCTGGCCGGCGCGCCCCGCCCCGCGGTGTCACCGGCCCGGCAGCCTCCTGCGCCGAGCGGGAGGCGGCGGCGGGGACGACCCGGGCGCGAGCGAGGCGAGAACGAGAGCGCGCAGCCCGAGCCCCGGGCCCTGCCCGTCGGCCGTCGCCGTCGCCTAAGCCCGCCCAGAGCCAGCGCCGCGCTTAGCCCCGGGCCGCGGAGACATGAGCGCCCGGCTCGACGCACCCCAGGCGCAGCGGCGCGGGCCCGCGGCCCGGTGACGGTGATGGGCTCCTGCGTGTCGCGAGGTGAGGGGCGCAGGGCGCGGGGACCTGCACGGCCCGCTGCCGCTCCGCGGAAACTGGGGTGGGGCCGCCCTGCAAGGATCATCGGCACCCAGGAGACGCGGTGCCCCTGTGACGGGATCGTGAGCGCCGGGTGTGGGCGGGCGGAGGTCACTGCATCCCCGCTCTACTTCCACCCGGCGGCGGGCACGGAGCGGGAGCCACGCTGTCTTCCCCGCGGTCACACGCCCCCCGCGGGGCGCCGGGCAGGAGGATTCTGATTTTCCTTGGCTCCTCTGTTAGGGAAGGGGCACAGGAGATAAAATAGATCCTCCCCCATCCCCCAAAACACAGACCTTATTACACCCCCACCCCAGCTCCCTCTTGGCTCCCGGCCCCCCATCTGCAGTGCCCGAGCTCTCCTGGCAGGAAGGGGTAAGGGTGGTGAACAGGCTGTAAAGAAGGTTCCCCTCCTCCCACCCACAACCCTAGCCCCTGCGCCACCCCACCTGAGACAGGACCTCGGAGAGGACAGAGGACAGCCGGGTCTCCCAGTAATCCCCTGCTTTGCTCTGTGACCTGGCACCCTTGACTGTCCCCAGGGTGCTACCAGGGAGCTGGGGTGAGCTGCCCCCACCTGGGGGGCCCAGGGCAGGGGTGGGGACCCACCTGTCTGGGGCATGGGCAGGGTGTTCTTCAGAGCCCCCTCCCCAGCGGGCTGCTGGGTGACATTTTGGAAAGGTTGGTCTGGGCTGCACTTCCACCTGGACACCTCACCTCACAGCAGGGTCAGGGAGTGGGGCTGGGAGTGGCAGTGTCATTGGCCCTGGCCAAATCCATTGACCCCAAGCACAAGGTGTTGGGGGGGGGGCGAGACCCCACCCATCACCCCCAGTAGCTTATTCAGGTGCAGAGGGCCTCACTGGTCTTGGGGGGCTGGGCAGGCCCTGGAGGGGACCTGGTTCTGGGGAAAGTTGAGGAAGTGGCACAGGCCCTCCCTTCCCGGACTCTGGGGCTTTGCTCACTGGCTCATGGGGACACTAGGAAAGTGGCTCTGGATGTTGCTGGAAGGGGTCGGGGGTGGGATCATGAGTGAGGGAGGGGAAGAAACAGGTCAGGCCAGATGAGGTTAGTTAGCCACCGGCCAAGCTCTTATTAACAGGGTGTCTGCTGTGTGCGGGCACTGAGTAGGTATGGGCCCAGCACAGCACCCCGTCTGTGTGCCTGCCTGCAGCTGAGTGGGAGGGAGTGTTGAAGGTTCTTTAGGAGTCATGGGCTTGAGATATCCCCAGAAACCCCAAGGCTTCAGGTGTTGGGCACCTGGGTTCTTTCTCAGTGACCATCTCCTTTCCCTATCACTTGGTCATACCATGCCAGGTGCCATGAAGACCCAGTCCTGGGTGGACTAGTCTGTGACCTGAGGGTCACAGAACACAGGACAGAGGCCAGAGAGGAAGGGACACCTGCCAAGGTCACACAGTGAGGCTGAAGCCCAAGTCCTCTGTCCTCCACCTGATGCTACCTCTGCTAGGCCTGTCTGAGGTCACCCTGGCCAGGACACACCCTCTCCACCCTCCCTTTGGTTGGCTGCCTGGGCTTCCCCAGTGCCATTCTCAGGTCTAGCTGTGGACTTCTGTGTCCCTATCCTGAGAGCATGGGGCCACTTATAGCCTTAAATGCAGCAGGGGATGTTGGATCGATGTAGAAGGAGGTATGGGAACTGCCCAGGCAGAAGACCCTCTGTCCCGCAATAGGCTGAACCACTGAATGGAGGCCACCTGCCCCCCAGCTGATATGGTCCAAGTATGAGCAGCTTACCAGGTACTAGTCTGAAAGTTTTAGGCCCAAACAGCTGGCATGGGCTGTATACCACCATCGTCCTTGTTTTACAAATGGAAAGACTGAGGGAGGAGGCAGTTGAAGGACTTGTGCAGGGCCTCGTAGCTAGGAAATGGCAGAGCCAGGATCTGAATCCCCCTGGGGTGTGTGGTGGATGTCTTGTGTCACCTGCATCCACCCTGCTCCCTGGAGCTGCAGGATTCCGTGGGCTCCCGAGCTCCGGCCTGGTCTTCACACCTGTGCTGTTAATAACTGCCCCATGCACGAAGGCAGTCCTGGGGCCAGGGCACAGCCTGAGGACCTGGAATCGTGAGCTCTGTCCTGATGCCCACCCTGAGCCTGGAGCCTGTACCTGGCTGGGGCTGCTCAGCCCTACACCCCACACCCCAGGTTCAGGCCACACCTTGGCCCCTGAGGTTCAAATCTCTACCCCACTGTTCACCGGCTGTGTGACCTCAGCAAGTTCCTTAGCCTGTGTGTACACTGCAGTGACCGTGTCCCTTCCTCATCAGTGTCCTCACCCCTAAAATAGAAATATGACAGTGTTGGTGTCTTTGGATTGCTGGGGGATCCAATGGCTTAAGTCCTGCAAAGCACTCAGTTTAATCTGCGCCTGCCACATAGCGGATGTGAGCACAAGTGCCTTCTCCCACCAGTGATTTGTGTCGTTAGCCTTCTGTGCACACAGCTCATCCAGGGCTTCTTGCTGAGAGGGGCGCTGCTGAGACCTCAGGCCCCATCCCACCTCATGGAGAGGGAGTGGGGGACAGGTGCTCACTTAGCGTCTGAGGACAGCAGGGAAAGTGACAGGGACTAGATTAAGGCAACAAACGCTGTTTCTGGGAGCTGTTTTGTGTTCATTATCTATTTTTAAGCTACCATTTGTTGGGCACTTATGCTGAGCCAGGCTGAGCTTTCGCTCCCCTGACCCAGTTAGTTCTCCTTCAACTGTGGGAGGGGACTGGGACTCAGAGACACAGGCCTTCCCTCAAGTCACTCAGCCAGGCTTAGAGAGGCAGATTTGAATCCAGGTCTGTGTGACCCCAGAGCTGAGCAAGGATCCCCTGCCCCTTGCATTCGTTTTTATTTTTGGCGGTACTGGGGATTGAACCCAGGGCTTGCACATGCTAGGCAAGTGCTCTGCCACTGAGTTCCACTCCTAGCTCCCACCCTCACCCCTTTGTGGTACTGGGGATTGAATTTCAGGGCCTTTGTACTGAGCTACATCCCTGCCTTTTTTTATGTTGAGACAAGATCTTGCTAAGTTCCCCAGGCTAGCCTTGAATTTGTGATCCTCCTGCCTCAGCCTACCAAGTAGCTGGGTTTACAGGTGTGCACCAACATGCCCATCTGGACAGGCCATCTTTGCCACTTACTAACTAGCTGGTTACCCTACATAAGTGATTTTAAATCTCCAGGCCTCAGTTTCCCTATCTCTAAAGTGGACATAAAAATTCTATTCTGCAGTGTTGTTTGAAAGGTTTGGGGAAAGACAATGGCTGGAAAGGGCAGGACAGGACCTGACAGATGGCAGATGATTCATAAACAGCAACAGCAAATCACTGAAGGCCAGCCTGAGCCCCATAGGGCCAATGGTGAGAGAGTCACCTGATGCAGCAGAGGCCAATCTGGACAGGCTGCCTGGAGGAGGAAAGGCTGGCCACAGACATGCAAGGAGCCAGGGTGTGTGAAGTCCTTCCTTGTGGGTAGAAAGAAAGGGATTTCCTTGTGTGGCTCTGAGCTGAACCAGCCCAAAGATGAAGCTATCATTCTGGTCTAGGTGACTAGTAAGCAAACGTCCTGGGGAGAGGAGGACACTCAGCTGCTGAGTGACCTCTGCCAAGCTCTGTGTCCTGCTCCCAGGCAGTGACTCACCAGGTAGAGGCCCAGGGCTCACCCCCAATGGCTTCCCTGCATGGGGGGACAGGACCAGAGGAATGGCTGCCTAAGATCTGTCCCCTTGTCCAGAAAGAGAAACTGAGGCAGGTACAGAGCAGCCACTGTGCAGCATGCACCCTCCTGCTCTGTGAGTCTCATCTCACAGGGGAGAAGCAGAGGCCCCAAGGGTCTAGCAGTGTGGCCACAGCCCAGGGACTGACAGGAAAGTGTGGGGTCCTGGGGCAGGGCCTGGGAGGAGTGGCTTGGCCCCTGCTTTCCCTCCAGAGCCAAGGACAGAGTGTGGCTGTCACAGCTGGGCCACCTGTGCACCTGGCTGGAGGTGCCCAGAGGCTTAGAGGATGAGCCCGTGGCTGACCAGGGAGGGACACTGTGGGGAGTGTGTGGCACCCAGGTTGCTGCTCGGTGGGTGCTGGGAAAGAGCAGGGTTAAGCAGGGCCCTCCTTGCCCTCCTGGGGTGTGGACCCCTGGGAGACACACTGGGGACAGATAGCAGCCACAGTGACTAATGGGCTGGGACACAAAGCCCTGAAGAATGGCAACAGGAGCTGGGGCCTCTGAAGCAGATAAGAGGGGCACAGCCCCCCAGGAACAGGCAGGAGGCCTGGTGTGAGCTTTGCAGGGAGAGGGACTCGGGTTCAATGTCAGGTGGAACTGTGTGGTTGGGGCCCTCAGTGGAAGGCAGAAGACGTCCCTGGGTGGAGAGGAAGTTCTGGTTGAAGGCAGAGGGATGAAGGAGACATCTGGGTGACAGCCCTCTCCTTGAAGAGTCCAGATGGCCCCTCCTTTTGCTGTGGCAACCAGAAGCCTGTCACTCCTGAGGCCAGGGGAAGGGAGAGGGGTCGGCCCAAGAAGGGGCCTTGGCCTTTGAAGTCAAGGGAGTAAGGTGTGTACTTGGACAGAAAGGGGGTGTCCCCCATGGCTCCCTTGGGAAACGGGTCAGCAACAAAGGCAGGAGCTAGTGGTCTCAGGCTGGCTGCAGCCCCACCCTAATGAAACTGTGTTTTTCCAGTGGCTCCTGGCAGTGACGTTCCCTGGTCCCAGCTGGGCCAGAACAGCCTGTGATTTCACTGGGGGCTGGTTCATTACCTGCTGTCTCCATGGCAACCAGCCTGTGACATCACAGGGCCAAAGTCCTCAGGGGCAGAAGGCACTTGGGCAGCGGCACCTGTACCCCAGCTGAGGTGGGAGCAGCAGGCTGAAGGGGGGCTGGGACCCAGAAGTCCCCATGCCACCACCTCCTCAGTGAATGACCTTCGAGTCCTGTCTCTGCCACCTGTCACTGGCAT